AGCAGTATCTCTGACACTTGGCATTGTGTTCTGATGCAAAGAGATCTATGGCCAAGTATCCCCATCAATGGCAGATGATCTGGAAGATGTGGTCATCTAATGTCCATTTGTGTGTTCATGTTGGAAGTCAGCTTAAGTGATCTGCTATTTAATTGTCTTCTGTTGAAACATGAATAGCCACTGGGAAGATGTGATGGAAATAACACAATTCCCACAATTCTATGGTAAGGTATAGAAGAGAGAGGGAATGTGTGCCTCCTTGTTTGTTTACATAGTACATCACCATGGTGTTGTCTGTGGCTGACTGTACTCCGTGTCCTTCGATGAGTGGTAAGAAGGCACGAAAGGCTTTTATTATTGCTAGTAGTTCTAGATGATTGATATGTAGTATTCGTTCTTTCCTTGTCCAGAGACCGTGTATTTCGAGTTCTCCGCAATGGGCTCCCCATCCCGAAGGACTGGCATTGGTGGTGACAGCTGTAACGGCTTGAAGGGTCTGCCTACTTGCAGATGTGGAAGAAACGTCCGCCAGGTTAGTTGCCATGTGAGTTCTGGTGTCACCATGAGGCGTTTCAACTGTTGGTCTGTTATGGGGTTGAACAGCGAAAGGTGTCATGTTCCTGGGGGTTTCAAGAGCAAAGTCTGATAAGCCAGTCCAATATCAGAAGTTCAGAGAATACAGAGCAGATATCAAAATGTCAAAGCCAAATCACAAACCATAATCCAAGGCCAGTGTCCAAAGCCAAATCATACTAACGTAGTCCAGGGTCACAGTCTAAAGTCAAGGGTCCAAAGAACAAGGTTCAAGGTACTCAGGAGCATGGATGCGAGCCAGAGATTTGACTTGTTGCTTCCACAAGTTTCCCAGCTGTCTGGGAGCTGCTATATAGTAAAACAGTCATTGTACTGCTGGAAGCCTTTCATCCTGTCAATACTCAGGGCTAGCTGACCTGATGTTTCTGCGGCAGCATTCAGGAGATCCTCTGACCTTTGCGTCATAAGTCTTTGCCGAAGTCTAGCCCTTACCCTGGCTACTGTGGGAGGACCATCTGGTGGAGATTCAGCTCTCTGTGCTTCTAATCGCTCAGCATTCTCCTCAGCTATAGTTAACCCCTCAGGTTCTGGATCTTCAGCTGAACTCATGACAAAAGGAACCATGCCTGTAATGACCTCATTTTGAGCCTCACATGTTGAACAACAGCTGTGGTAGATGCCATGAGCCCGAGTAGATGTTGGGCTTTGTGTGCTAACACAAATGTCATGGGTCCGAATGCTCGGATGGCTTGTTTTAATTTGGTGATCCTCTCTAGTGGTAAGAACGCTCTTGCTTGTAGAGAATCGAGGTAGGCTGCAATGTAATTGGTAGTTTGTGATGGCTGAGATTTGGTATAATTCACCTTGAGTCCTAGGTTGTATAGAGTATCCATGATTATTTCTGTGGCTCTGATAGCATCTTGGTATGAGGAGGCTATGATTAACTAATCGTCGATGTAGGGAAAAATGACTCCTCCTTGAAGACGGAGATAAGTTGCAATCGGTGCCACACATTTCAAAAATGTTCTTGGAGCTGTGGATAGTCTGAAAGGGAGGGAGCAGAATTGGTATGATCTCCCATCGAATCTCAACCGAAGAAATTTTTGATGTACTGTATTGCTTTTAAAATGAACTCTATGGTTTGGTCTATGCAATTTATAAACATCCTGATCAGAAAGCCATTGAGAAACATCCCCCCAGAGTGCTGTCCTCTGAAGATGCCGGCCACAGAGACTGGTGAAACGTTAGGAAGAACAACCTTCAGAACACGGCCAAAGAACCCGAAAAACCCACAACAACCAAACATCCCCTTCTTTCAATGTTTTGATCTGCCTTTTGGCTTTTTGGTTCAGACAGCCAAAGCTCCCCACTGATGCGGGTGTATAATATATATCATGTAGTATTTCCCCATGTGCAGCCATCTCAGTGGTTACCACAAACATGAAAAAGGTATAAATGATCTTTATTAAAAGACAGTATATTACAAGGGTGTTGTAAAACAACCCTCTAAGGCTCAGGGGTAGTAGAACCACATTAGATACAGAATAGATTATCAGGCTGTATATTCCTTCAGGGTGGTTTCTCATCATCATCCCGAGCATTCTCCTGTGGATTGAAATGAAACAACACTTTAGTAAGGTTTCTAAAGACCATACCACCCCCTAACATACCCCATAACTATAGCTTTTAGAAAATGCTCTTGTCTGACTTTGTCTTCTGCATCACTCTCAAAGTCTTCATCTGAAGCCTCTTCCACCATCAGATCCTCAGGGCTGTCAGCTGCCCCCCCAAAGCCTGGTTTTACCAGCACACAGCCATCCACGATCTCTGCAGATTTCAGGGTTTCCCCAGTTGCCTTCTGAAAAGCTGTTTTAGGCCCATGTCCACAATCACACTCAATCTCATAATCATCATCACCCCACAACAGGGTGCAGGCTGGCTTTCTTGTGCTTTTCAGCTTCTGCTTTGCAGTAAATGCTTATATGTCTTCTGCAGGCTTTTCTTCTTAGATTTTCAGGGTCTTCAGGCAGCATCCCCCTGAGACTTTGTGGGGGTCCTAAGGGGCATAGGGGCTTAGAAAAACCCACAGGCCCATGGTAGTAACCTTGAGGGCACAGGCGCCTTTTGGGTTTCACCAGTGCTTTTTGGCTTTCTGCCTTTTGGAGTACCTGGGTGGAGGGAGGCTGATTTTCCTTGTCCTCCATCTTCTCAAAGCCTAGGCCTGTCTCTGCAAAGAGCTGCAGGCACATGCAGAACTCCTCAAAACAACAGCTTGAGTTTCAGCCCCAGGTGACCTAAGGGCATGCCCAGGCATGCCCTACAGCCAACCCTTTTCTAGCCAAACCCCTCAAACATTTTTCTATTGGCCTGCAGGGCCAGGGGGTACCACGTAGCACCGGGTGCCAATCCTGAGGCTACTCTCTGGTCACAGGGGGACCTGCGTCTATGAATCCCGCTTGTAGGCCCACGGTGACCTCACAAACCCCTACATCAGCCTCCTAAAGCCCTGCCCTCCCTGGAGGAGGGCCCTGGGTGAAGCCTAGGACCTTAGTCCCACCTCATAAGTGTGGCGCACCTGATTTTGATGAGTGCTAGGTATTCCGACTACTTTTATGCATGTGGGATTGCAGCCCAAGTATTCTGAGAACGAAATATAGTGGGAACATATGTTAAATACATAGTACATGAAATGGCAGTCTTCATTGTGTCTGTATTCTTGTTAAGGTTTTCTCAGGAAAAATGTTTTTTTTTTTGTCATTGCTGGCCAACACCTGAACTTCTAGGTGGTTGAGTATTGTTATGAACACAGACCACCGTATTGTCAGATAAGGTGATTTATATTTGCATCAAAACAAAGGGCTGGGATAGCCACTTGAACTATACCTAAGACAATGTGGATATATTCACTTGAGCATCCAAATAGATGTATGCAACAATCACATTTGTCCACAAAAAGGATGAGGTTTATCATGTAGCATTTCCCCATGTGCAGCCATCTCAAGAGCAGAGAGGAGGGGAACAAATCCTGACATTTTGCTCACCTTCCTTTCTGGTTTTCTGTGATTTTAATCTATTCCGGTTCAGCACTATTTCCTTAATTTAAAGACAGCATTGTTTTGTGACTAGTCATGTCTTCAGAAAGGTCACAGACACAGAAAAGACAAATGCTCTCATTCAACAGACAAGGTCTATGTACTCATGCATCAATTGTTGACACCAGTTTGGACGCATCCCGCCATCAAGTTTATGATGTTTATTTAAGCTTTGCTGAGCATACTGAATGTAGGTGAAGTCCTACAGACTCTTACCTTAAAGTAAGTACAAAGCAAGGTGTTGTACCCATATCTGTAAATCTGATCAGATATTCATTTAAAATATTTAATTGTTGACTATTGAATAAATATTGCTGGTGGAAGAATGTTTTAAAACGTTTGCTTTGGGACAGCTCAAGCCTACCTACATGCAACAGAACAGCAAGCACCAGTTGCGCCAAAAATGTATGTTGTACTAAAGACTGCCAAGTTAGTATTTTGCCATCTGAGATAGGCTCTTGTACCTATGAATAAATACACAACAATAACACATTCAGCCAGCAACAATTTGTTGCCATTTGCATTGCATTCCTTTCTCTGCTGTCTTGCTTCGGTAGCTTTTTAAGTTGTAAGGCCTTGGGATGGGACAGTCCCCATCACTATTATATAGCTGTCAAGATGCTATGCAATAACAAGATATTTCTTTAAATGTTTTCCAGTATAACTCTAAAACACTTGCAAAAGGACTGGTGAAACATGTGCCCCTCCAGATGTTGTCAACGACAACACATATCATCCCAGCCAGCAAAGTCAATTATGAAGGATGATGGGAGTTGCAGTTCTATAACATTTGGAAGCCAACATGTTCTCCATGCCTGTTTGTGCAGGACAAAGCATCTCTCTCGTCAACACCCCCCATGACCCTCCTTTGTCCTATATTTTTGCAGTTTCAGCCTGCAACATACAATACTCAACACTATTCACTATGGGGAACATAAGACATCTTTTATCTCTGCAGAGTGATTGTCGATTTCTCTGGTCTCTTGGAGGTGTTCCACACTTATGGTCTCTCTGGGGACATTCTGGAAAATGTCCCAGATCCTCCGTCACAGGCATGGAGAGAATGTCCCTTGACTGTTTTTTTTTACCAAAGCCTCCATCTGCTTAAAAGCTTCCAAGTTCAATAAGTAGCGTTTGAAATAAAGCCCAAGCAAAAGGTTAATGGATGCCTTTTTGTATCAACCTGGTGAGCGTGAAACGTAAAAAACGAGGCTATAAATAAAATGGAGGATGAAATCCATATAGGACTCAAATGTAAGCTGAAGCGAGTGAGAGCTGCGTTTGCGTGAAGGAGCGGGTGTGTGACAACATCATACCGTGGACACAATTTCATCACAAGAGGCTGAACTCCAGCTTGCTCCTCCACTCTCCCCGGTCAACTCTGTTAACGCCCGCGTCCCAATGAATTCACACCTGACACTCATTACGTGAAGAATAAATCAGAAAAAGAAAAAAGAGAAAGGCGGCTCCGCCCTATAGTAGTCACTGGTAGCAACGGGATGGGGCTCGACGCCGAGCTCTCCTGAGGGGAAGGGAAAGCAAGGTGAGGGAGGGGCTCCCCGCGTCCGCCGAGAAGTGATTTATCCGCAACTTCTCTCGAGAGGAGCAGGGCTGCGGGTCTCTTCACTGTACTACTGTCTTCCTGGCCTTCTCCCTGGCCCGCCTCCTTCGCCCTTCGGCGCTTGTTACAGGCCTGCTCTTTTTCGTCGGCCCCGCTTGTCCAGAAGGAGGAACAATAAAGGAACTTTCGCTCCATTTTTTTTTTCTTTCTCTGACGGAGAGGAAGGGGCAGGCGCTGGGTTGCCGCAACGCGCATGCTCGACGCAGGCGCCATTTTGGAAGGGCCGGAGATTAACCAGCGGGAGCAGTGGCGGTGGCGACGGGTGGTGGAGCTGGGCCCGGCTCAGAGGCGGCGGTAGCGGCCTGGGGTTGGGCGGGTCGGTGGACCCCCTGCGGAGATGGCTAACATCGCAGTGCAGAGGATTAAGCGGGAATTCAAGGAGGTGCTGAAGAGCGAAGAGGTGAGACTTGCTTGCCCCTTCAGTTACTACGGTGGTGGTGGGGGGGGGTCTGCATCCCTTTCGGTTTTCTTCCTCGTGCATTTCTTATTCGCCAAAATCATTTATGATCGAGGGGGGAAAGTCATATTGCCTTAATTGCCTGGGCAGTGCTTTTTTCCAGGAATGGAGGGGGGAGAAGAGATATTTCCTAGTGGGGTCCTATCCTATCTGAGCGGATTTGGGGGGGGGGCATCACAAAATGAAGGAAGAGATGACTAGGAAAAAAATGTGTGAGAGGGAAAGATTAGACCTTCTAAGAAAAAGGGGTAGCTTTCCATTTTATCTGCTCTGCTGTCCCTGCTTAGGCCCTCTGAAGAAAGGATACGGTAGGCCAACATCACAGGTGTGTTAAAGCAACGATTATGTGTGAATGTGTCTTCCTTCAGTGGAACTACGTTACCACCGTTCAGAAGTCGTGCTGTTTCCCCTTTTAAAAACCAACACATTCTCTACAGTTATTGAGAGAATAGGCTACGTTACTTTGTCCCAGATGCAGGCCTTACAGGTAGGCTCTGATACACTCTCACAGATATCTTTCCGGTCCATCCCCTTTTTCTGGTTTTTGTTGTTGTTGTCCTCTTCTCTGTGTTCCAGTGAATCTGATGGCCAGAGAAAAAGTTCTAACCCCCTTTTTTCATATTAAATATCAAACACTATGTGTGGAAGAGTTGTGGTATTCATAGCAATATCGGGGTGGGCACTGATAGGGAAATCTTCCCAGTTTTGGTGAAACTGGCAAGTATGTTTATAACTGAATTAATTAATATTTGAGGAGAGTTGTATAAAATAAAATGACAGTTCTTTCATTGAAGAGTGAAAGGGAACAAGTACATGTGAAAGATAGTAGTAATATTGGTTGTAAATAGCAAATCTGTTAACATTGGCTTCATTTAGAGATTTAAATGACATTAATAGGTATCGTGACTGACCTTGTTTTGTTTTATACCTCTCTACTAATATTATTTGAACATATTGGGGAGGACAGTTTTGCTAATAGTACGAATGTGCATACATTTTCTTATTACATGAGGAAGGCAGTGTTTGCCATATACTTAAAGAACTCTTGCTAATCCCAGTGCTGTGAAGAATATGTTCATATAATATAGATATTTGAATACTCACTTACTATACTTCTTAATACACATTTAAAATATACTAGTTGTATATCTTTTTAAGTATGCATCTTAAGATTTTAAGCATATACATCCTAAGTCACACTGAAATCAGGGAATGGTTTATGGATATTTAATGTATTCCTTCACATGATGCTGGTAATATTTAATATTGGGAACCTTAGTAACAGTGGTGCCTTTAACAGTCAAAAATCATCACCGTGTCACCATCAATCCAGCAAAACTTTCTGATTATTAAAGGCTCCAAAAGGCTTTCCCAAGGCAAATGGATGTTGTGGGAAGTCTTAGAACCATAAAGGGGCTGGGGGGGGGCAGATAAGAAGCCTATCAGTTTAGTTTAATCAGCTTAAATTAAATACTACTATCACCAGATGATGTCATCTGATTCATGCTTTTTAAGTGTGCAAATAGGCTTTTGCCCATCATGTACTAGTGCACACTGTCCAGTCACTCCCATTGTAACTAGGAGTGGCCAAACTAGTGTCCAGAGTTTGCTTATTGTGCTCTCAGAACTTAGCACTTTAGCTTTTTACTAGAAGATACTATCCTGAATGTCAGTTTTGATGTCATATTAATTAATTGGTGGAGAAGAATTGTGAACTGTGTATTACATTGTTGTTAAAGATAATAAAGTCTTTGGCTTACCATGACTTCAGGCCAGTCCTTTGCATTTACTGAAAATATTTTACTTGCAAAGTACTGAATTCTGAAAGGTGATTTAATAATTTATAGTAAGAAAATGGTACCTTTGGGGGTTTGTGAGAAACTGATTTGTAGATGTAGGTAATGGGTTTTGTGCTAAGCTGTGCTTAAGAGAACTGATACAGATGGCTTGCACAGAAAATTTTAAGTAGTACTTATGTCCGTTTTATACATAAAATTGTATTTGATGATGTTTCAAGTTTAATTTGTATAGCAATTTAAATGATGGCGACAATATTGATTATTATTGTTATGGGCTGTTAAATTTACTCTGGTTTCTGTTAACTTTCTCAAGGTTTCTTTAGCATAAAGTATGCACAAGTGTTTTACCAGTTTTTACTTTTGGTGGTACTTAGGATTGTGTTGCTTGCCTAAGGCTGCACAGATGGCAGGGTGCGTAACCCTATCAGCTACACGTGCTCTGGGTAGTCTCGATTGGACTCTCTCCCTGAAGGCACAGTGGGAATCCAGACTCCTGACCCCTGGCTCTTCAGCCATGTGCTCCAGCTCATAGGCCTTCATAAATGCATAGACGCATGTTTTCATATCCAGTTGGTCTCTATCTCCTTTCCACAGTAGTATTTCTAGAGGGCAGAGTGTGTATCCACTTTTGAACATAATTTATATAAATAATATACTGGATATAGAAAATGGCAGGAAAATCGGAAGTGCGGGTAAATGAACAGACTGTTTACTAAACATGGATGGAACCTACAGCATTTTAGGTACAAATGTGTTTGAAATACTTTGGCTGTCTGTGTTTTACCTAGAAATGGAGGGGGATCAGTTCTAATTAGTCTAGCTAGGTTATGGGGTGTATTAAGGGGCTTAATTTGTATATCTGAAATTGTGTTGTGCAGTTCTGCAAATGTTATAACTTTTACAAATTGTCATCAGAAATCTCTATAGACATCTGTTGCATACTGAGTAGCACAACTTGGTGTGCAGCAGAAAATTTTGTAACATGAGGCTATTCATGTCTAAAAATTAAGCTAGTTGTGTAACTATACAAGAGGATTTCTAACATTTGTTTTATTTTATCTGAAATATTTTTACCTTTTCTCCTTAAAAAGGACCAAGGCAGCTTACATCATTAAAATACAATGTTAAAGGTAAAAAACAGTAAATATACAAATACTAGAAAGGCTGTAATAGCACAGTACAACACAGTAAACAAAAACAATACTAAAACCACATTCAAAACAGTAAGACACAGCAGTCTGTTTAACAGCCCTATTCAGGCAGCTAGTCACTGTGGGAAAGCTTACCTGAAGAGATGGGGTCTACCTGGTCTCTTGTGGAAGGGAGTTCCCAATTCTGGGGGCAGAGAGAGAAGAGGCTTTCTCCTGTGTCCACATTAAATGCACTTGTGATGGTGGTGGGACTGAGAGAAAGGCCTCTCCTGATTATCTTTATACCTGAGCAGGCTTGTAAAGGAAGATCTGGTCCTTGAGATAGCTTGGACCTAAAGCATTTTTAAAAGTTTAGCCATCACAGGCCAATATTAACACAACATTGCAGTTTACAAAGAACAAACAGCAGGTGATAGAAGTATTCTCAAACTACTTTCTTTCTTTGTATTATTTAATTTTTATACATTTTCAATAGGGATAGGATTGGGGCTGGTGTACTGGGGGAGTGGACATGAGTAGGGGAAGGGTAAAATTCCAGAGAGCAAGATGGTACTTTTGCATCCACTCATACAATTCTACTAGAATAAAAAGATAACAAAAAAGAACAACTGAACAGTTTTTACCAGAATTGCTATAGTTACTAATCTCTCCTTCGCATTCTTCTTTTATCTATGCTTTCCAGTCCATATTTCGAGTCCAGCTATAAAATCATTCCAAAATGTTGTGTCCTTTTTTGAAATGACTGTGTTTCTGCTTTCTTCCACTGTTTCCCATATTATAGCTACAGTAATTATGTGTATTATCACATTTCATTTCTTTATTTACAATCTCAGACTTAATACTCAATGAACATAATTCCAGTTTAAATATCTGACAAATTAGAATTTTTATCAGCATTTCATATGCTATTCTTCAATAATCTGCTTCCCAACATTGTTGAAAGTATCATCCTGTATTTTACATTTCCAATACTTATTAAAAATATTTCATAAAGTAGCTCAAACCACTTTCTTGATTTGTGCCACCAACTAGGTGTAGAATCACCAAAGAGCATTGCCCTAATTTCTGTCCCAAACGTATGTTCTATAAGAATACTGTGATCAATGGCACTGAAACTGTACAGGACGTCCAGGGAGATCAACAGGACCACGTTTTGTCTGTATCTCCAGAGGAGGAATAAATCAGTTAAATGTTAGAAGACATGTTTTGTGTTTAAAAGGCCTTATGTTCAGTCCCTGGCCTCTAGTTTGATTTGGAAAGGGCTTATGTATGAAACTTTGGAGAACTGATACCTGTGTCTATGGTTAGTAGTAGGAAAGTAAGAATAGTGTACTGTCAAGTAAATTCTAACTCATGATAACCCTTTTCAGAGTTTTCTAGGTAGAGAGTACAGTGATACCTCAATTTACGACCATAATCCATTCCAGAAAATGGACGTAACTCGAAGTGGTTGTAAGTTGAAGCACCATTTCCCATAGGAATGCATTGAAATGCAATTACTCCATTCCGGCTGAAGAAAAAAAAAATCACACACACAAAAAATCACTGCAAAACTAATTGGAAACGCGGTTAATCCCTTCCGGTCAAAGGGGAGGGGGGGAAAGAAAAGTAATCAAGCATGCTAAACCCATGGGAAATGCAGAGAAAACAAACGGAGCAGATTGGAAATGCACAGAGAACAAAGGGGGCAGGTCAGAAATGCAAAGAAAACAAAGGAAAAAGCAAGGGAAGCATGCAGGACCCATAGGAAATGGGGGAAAAACAAAAAAGCAACCAACCCCCCCCAAGGCTCATCGGAAATGGGGGGGAAATAACCCAACAAACAAACCCCCTAAGAGCCATCACAGCACAGAAACATAACCCCCCAGGTCAAAACCACACTGCAAAAACATCCAGAACAGTTTTTAAAAAGCAGAAAACAGCACCTTACTTTGCCAGGCAGCCCGAAACACACACACACACA